GTGATTAAACTTTTGAATGTTATTGACATAAGGCAGAACATGCATCAACTTATCCTAAGTTTTTTATACTCCCAAGTGACTTACTGTGAAATAAACTCTAGCTTCCCATAATGATCCAGATTTTCTTGTTGAAAGTTATGCTGTTAACTTCACTCTCTATGAATTCTAATGTTGATATTTATTATTGCTGCACATTGTATACCAATATTGGAAATTTTACAACTTCTTTAGAAACCTTAATTGTGTAGTCTGTCTTTAGCATGTAGGAAGATATTGTGGTCGTATTGTCAGCTTTTATTGATCGACATTTAAAGGCCTGTATTGTCTGTTGATTTCCCTGGTGGGTTCCATGTTCATGTGGATGTTTAATTGTGGAACATTGTTCTAATCTCATAATGATGATATTGGTTTAAAAGAGCCATTTTGCTCAGGTCTATTTACCTTCATTGTCTAAAGAGCAGGATTAGCTAGTCCTAATTCCACAGAAGATTCAGCTGGTCTGATTTCTGTATTTTTTTTAGTATGTTCTATTTCAAATCTTTAGTTATGCTTGAGCTGCTATCATCACATTAGATGATTCAGTTTTTGAATATTTATATATTATAACTTCTGATTTTCTTGTTGTAGTTGATGCTTCTGAAAACCAGCTAAATGTTGATAGCTTTTTAGCCAGGTCCTCTTCCTTTATTCATCTTACTTCTCAAGTTATTGACATTCAAATGGGTCTTCCATGCAGAGTTCTACTCTGACCCAGTCAGTTTTCTGCCCTGCATGTTATGATTTGCCTCACTTTGAGTCTTTCTTTTTTTCAGAGTAATTATTAGTTATCAACTGATCTTTTAGCCAAAATATAATGTTTACTTTGCAGCATTCCTTAGCTGTTGCTCTCACTGAGGTAGCATATAGTACTGCAGGTCTTGTATTCCTTTAACACCTTTGCCTATGGTGCTTTGTTACAAGGCAGTTGCTTCTTCCTCCCCCTAACTTTTCAGCTGACCTTAAAAAAGCTTCTCTGCATGGTTTGACCTGCAGTAGTCTTCTTCCTTAACATTTCTACTTACTTTTGGTAGTCATTCCTTTTGAAATGACTGGCAAGTAATGTTTGTTTTCCTGCTTTACCTCTTTATCTACTTCTCAGTTATTTCTCAATGTCAGTTACTTCTACTCATTCCTTTTGACATTACTGATGGTCAAAATTAGATGTAAATAAATGAGATCTTTTTGATCCACTCAGTTATCTTCTACTCTTTCCAGATGAATTTCTCATTTGGTCTGTTGAGGGGTCATCTTGGAATATTGATTCATTTGTGGAATGTTTAGTTTTTGGAATCCTTGAGTTTGACTGGTCCTTCTGTCTGGTCATAATGTTCTTTTCCTCTTTCTTCTAATCCAGTCACAAATTCTGGATCAGAAAGTCTCATACCTCCTTAAAAAAGAGTTGTCAGAATTACTTATCATGCTTCTCTTAGGTTTTTTTTTACTCTTTTTAGTTCCAGAGATATTAGGGATTGGAATTTTAAAATGGCTATAATGAAAGTTTCTTTATCATGGCTGTTGAGAACATGTTTGAATGGATTTGTCTAGACAGGACATAAGCATGTTGCACATACCTTAGTGATTGTCCTAAACAAAATCCCTTTCTCTGTTCTGGTGTTTCATGAGGAGGCAATACCCTTTGTAACTGGACTGTAGATGCCATCTGATGGCTGATGATGCCTCAGCAAGTACCTTGACCACCTCTTTTCAGGCATGCCCTTGTGAAGCATTCGAGGCGAGACATCTATTCTCCATATGATATCTTAAGGCTCCAACCAGGACAGGGAACACATTACTGCTTTATTTTTTATTTCCTAACCTATTTGTTGTTCCTATTGCACTGTCTTAGAGTTGTAGAGCCCATCCTTATATCTGTCTAGGTCTTTTCAATTCTCCCTTGGTGATTAGGCAATTATGTGACTTAGCCTACCTTTTCTGATGTGAATGTGGAGGGCCTTAGCCCCAGGAGCATGTCCATTCATTAACTGTTACTGTTCTACTTCTCCAGTAATCTTCCATTACTGTTACGGGACAGTGCATTGTGATGTGACCTTGGCCACCTGTTACACCTTCAATTATGACCACTGACCCCTCCCCCTCTTTATATATTAATTAAAAGATGCTTAGGGTGATGAGATACTTTGCTCAGAAGAATGCATTTTTTTTAGTATTATTATTTGGTCCAGTCTCTTATGAGATGGGTTTGCTCCACTTGTTTCTTCCATGAATCCAGTTCATAGACTTTTACTCTGGCTCTGGATTCTACTC